GGGTTTTGTGTTTACATAAATAATCCATACAACACCAAACATTTGAATGGTTAACTCCAAACAAGCTAGTGCCTGTGTAATCTCCTTATTATCCACTCGTATTCAGTTAATTAACTCGTGCTCCATTTGTATCTCCTTGTGCTGTGTGTATCGTACAAACGTATTTCCTCGGTATTTACTTGGTGCTTGGGAAAGTGTCAGTTATTGTGCTCTAAGTACCCCTGGAAGGCCCTGATTCGATAATGCCCAATACTTGTTCCTCTGTGCTTGGAACCCGAATATCAATTGTCGTCCACTATCTTCCTAGAACCACTCTGGTCGCCCTTTGTTGGCGTGAGTTTTTTCAGCTTCTACCATGTTACTGTAGCATTTACCTGTAACTATCTGTTGATGACAAAAAACCTCATTGCCGCTGTGCCTTTTCATCCAAAAATTGTAGAAGAGAACTTTTTTGATATCAAAAATTTTCGTAATTTGAAACAAAGATCGTAATTTTTCTTTTTGAATGCTTAAGTATTCCAATAGGCTGCCAATCCAACGTGGGATAATAATGCTTAATAACAAAGTTGAAATTCGATCTTCAACTTTGTCTTCTAGAAATTTTGGAAAATAAAAATTTCAATATTTTTCTGGTACTCTCCAAGAGAGCCTCTATCACCCCTTAAAAGGAATGACTCCAATTTTATTATGCATTTATTACTATACTGTAAATTGAAATATGGGCGCTCTAAAATTTTATGAAATTTATTATTTGATTAAAAAGCTGATAATTGTTGGTTTTCAGATGTCCTGCGAGTGTCGTCGAAGAACTAACCAAATCCAACCCACACTTGGAAGTAATAAATGCTGTGACAATAAAATGCGAGTCGCTCAATCTTGACTCATTCAATGCCCTGAAGTGCGTCAAAGAATTGAGGCTGAAATCGACTTGCGGATTGAGTATAAAGTCGATCGACTCCCTAAGAGAGCTGAAAACATTGAAAATATTATCGCTCACATCGGTGACCGACCTGCACAAACTGGACTTGAGCGTCCTGGCTGAACTGGTTAATCTGGAGTGGTTGGATTTGGGCGAGTGCACAGACTTTCCGAAGAATTTTGGTTCCGATATTCTCCTCAAATTAAATCGGCTCGAGAAGCTTCGATTGGAAAAGGTAAAGCCATCGATTTTGCGCGAGTTTGTTTTTCGAATGTTTGATTTGTTTGCAGGGCCAAGGCAGTTGCCACACTTTTGAAATATTGGAAGCTGTGAAGGACATGGAACGGTTGGAGCAATTGGAGCTGGTTAATTTCGATGTCAAAACCGGATTCGACAAAGCCATTGGTTTATGCACCAACATAAAGAAGCTGATGATAATTCCCACATACATTTCGCAGAGTGCGACAACAAACAATATGGTTTTGTCCGGTGTTTTGCAGTTGCATGGTAATTCAATTGAGTTTGTAGTTCGGTTCCCCGAATCATGTAGTGTGTTTGCAGAGAGTTTGAGTCACTTTGTCTGGGGCGTCACGTTGGAGCTGTTGAGAGTTACGGAACTGTTCGTTGACCAGTGCGAAGACTCCAATAAAAAGGAGAAAAAACCAGGCGGAAATGGTGACTGTATTCCGGTTTTAAAGCCCGTACCTGATATATCCAACGGCCGATCGATTCAAGCGGCTAGCAATCCTCCCCAAGTGGAAATTCTTCCCTTGCCCAATTTGCAAAAATTGCTATTGAATAGTTTGCCCACCACGCGAGTGAAAATCCTTAAGATACCGTTCCACGCTACATGGAGACAAACTCTGTCCGATACGGTTTAGTGGTGGTTTTTTTAAATCAATTTTCGGGGTAGTAAACCGTTACTTGGCCCCCACTAGTTTTTCGTTTGACCTCAGGTGTTCAGCACCGCGTTTGCAGCAAATTAAATGAATTGACGGTAATCAGGAAGTATTGTAAATTACATTTTCGAGCTGTATATAATTGTTTGTATAATTATCGGGTAAATTTTAGTTTTATCCGTAATGTCCCAAATTTACGGTTTAAAATGTTTTCTTTGTTGAGTAGGTGTTTTAATAGATATTTTCTAATACTTATTGAACCGTATTGACTGGTAAAATAATATTTTTTTGTTCGGCGAACTGCCATTGCCCTTTACACCCAATCGTCCAGTAGCGATTTATGTGAAGAGTGAAAACTGATTTCAGTAAATCGAATTGATTCGATACTCACATGGGGAGGAGAGTTCTTTTTGCATCCATGAATGTTATCGCAATAAGAATTGCGGCGCCGATTTCGACAAACGTTTAATTTTCTCGATGTTCTGCAATGTCGACTTCCTTTGATAAAACAGCGGGTAGGGTAAGTGCCAGTAAGCCGGACACAGCCAGTAGTCGGATAAAACGTATATATTTGAAAATAAGTTGAAAACGAAACAGTATCGTCTTAAGTAATTAAGATATTGTAACGGAAATGGCCTGGGGAAATTTCGCACCTGGGCTGGAGATTTTGAGAACCTTCTGGGTTACCTGGAGGAAACTATATAAGCGACGACGGGAACGATGGGGGAAAAGTGAAGTGACAGCAGCGACCGGGTGCAGCAGAGGTTGAACCCCGCGAGTCTGAAGAGCGAGTTTTTCGTCGGTTATTGTTATTGTTTGTGAAGTTGACGGTAATTTTGAAGTTAGTTTGTTCCTGTTCCGTAGTTAAAGTTATACCGAGTGGAATAAAAGTTGGAAGCAGAAGAAAGAGTTTGATACTCGGCCATCCACGGTACATTTGGTGTCAGAAGTGGGATTTACCAGAATCCAAGTTAAATTTTGATGGAAACAAGAAGTAAATCAAAGAGGGAAGACCCTGCAATGGAGAACCCCAGTTTGATTGCACTGCTCATGCAGGTGAAAAACGAAATGAGCGACAACAGTAGGAAAATAATGGACGAAATGAACGACAACATTAAGAAAATGGACGAAAAAATTGACAGAATGAATGACAAAATGGAAGACAACAGTAGGAAAATGAGCGACAACAGTAGGAAAATGGACAAAATGAATGACATATACAAAGAGATGCTGAATAAAATGGACGACAACGCTAAGAAATTTGAAGACCTGAACACAACCGTTGAAGACAAACTAAAGAACATTGAGGAAGACAATACGAAGTTTCAGAACGATGTTAGAGATGAAAACATAAAGTTTCAAGACGAAGTTGATGAAAATATCTGCCGACTTCACGCACATGTGGAAGAAGAAATAATCAAAATTAGACAAGAAGTAACCAGGTACAATGCAGGATCTGATACAATAAAATTTGAGGCGCAATCTCCAAGCAGCAGTAAACTGAAGCCACCAACATTCGATGTTAAAGTTACATGGTCCACATATTTATGCCAATTTGAAGCCGCTGCAGTAGTTAACGGGTGGAATGATCAGGAGAAGGCAATAGCACTGATTATTTCCCTACGAGGCGAAGCAACGGAAATTTTACGATCAATACCACAAGATGACCGTAAGAACTATCAGGCCATGCTTGAAATTTTTCAAATGAGGTATGGTGACACACATTTGAAAGAAGTCTACAAAACCCAGCTTAGAAGCAGACGACAAAAGAACAGTAAACCATGCAAGAATTTGAAGCGGACATTCTACGTCTATTACATTTAGAAATGAAATGTTTTCCGGGCTTTGAAGCCGTGGTCTATCGGAATTTCTTCCTGACGTTTCGTCCACAACTGCGTTTGTTCTTCAACAACTTCAAAGTTCTTTAGCGTGGTTTGCGTTTGCGTTGCGTAGGTACGTTGATATTTCCGAATCATAAATTCCATTAACAAATGCTTCGACTGCTAGCTCTTGAATGGTCTCCTCAGGTAGTGATAGAAATGCTAACCTGAATAGACGTAGAATATCAGACTATGAAGGCTTTCACGGCCGGTCAGATTACATTTAGAAATGTTTTCCGGGCTTTGAAGCCGTGGTCTATCGGAATTTCTTCCTGACGTTT